TCCAATAAGCATACCTTGATTTGGTTATTTTATATAAGGGACACCATTTTACTGTGCCACTTTATTTAATGGGACTTGAATATCCACAGATGTTGGTATCTACGGGGGCTAGTGGTAGTCCAGGAACCAAAACCCAGCAGATACCAAGAGCCCACTGTATATAGCTGTGCTAGTCTGGAAAACCAGTCTGCAAAGGGGCCTTACAGCATCTTTGAGACTGGCTGAAAGAAAGAAGTGGATTTGAACCTACTTCCTCAAAGGGACGTTTGCATCCCTTTGCATCCTGCAGATGAGGTGCACTGGCGTCAATGGCCTTATGCCTGAGGATCAAGCTTTCCCCTCTTTGCATAACAGAGGTATTGATCTTTTGGGTTACGTGTCTTTGTTGCTGCACATTGTGCATGGATGTGCCCCAGAGATGCGCAGGTAGGCACAGTGCAGTTTTAATGGCGCAACGCTGCAGTTCACTAACAAGGTGGTGTTGCACAACTACCAGAAGTTGTGCTCTCATCCAAATATTTCAACAAATAAAAAGACCAGCAGGACTGGAGACCCTCCCTCAACCTCTCTGTTTTTATTTTTCCAGCCTACACTTATTTCTACAAAGGCCGAATGTACTGGAAATTCGACAACGAGCGGCTGAAGACAGAGCCTGGCTACCCAAAGTCCATTTTGCGGGATTTTATGGGCTGTCATGAGGAAGTGGCTGCCAATCCTGACCCCGGCCGGAGGTGGCCTGATTTCAGCAAGCCACCATTCAATCCGGACAGCCCCGGAAAGGACAAAGAGGAGGAGGAGGAGGAAAAAGTGGACGAGGAGGAGGCTGTGGACACTCGCCCGGGAATAAAGGAGGAGGAGGAGGAGGAAGAGGCTATGGACACGGAGGGGGACTATGGGGACGGTGTAGACGAGGCCAGGGAACGGGGACCCCCCCGTGACGGCCCTAGCGACGTGGACATTGTGGTGCACATCGACGACTACCCCTTGACCATGAGCGTCATCATGGTGACGGTGCTGCTTGTCCTCCTCCTCTGCATCCTGGGCCTGGTTTACGTCATGGTCCAGCTCCAGCGCAAGGGGCCGCCCCGCATGTTCGTCTATTGCAAGCGATCCCTGCAGGAGTGGGTCTGAAGCCTCGGGTGTCCCCTCTGGACAGGGCGGCCCTCCTTGCTCCTTCTCTCCATTCAAGCAGGTGGCCAGTCGGTGCTCTGGTGTCCTTGGCTTGAAAGGTTGAGCTAGGGGCAACTTTGCCTTCCCTTGGAGAAGAAACTTCAGAGGGTCTATTGGGGGGCAAGGTCCATTCAGTCCTTTCCTCTCCCTGCTCAAAAGCAGACTTCATGGATATTCCTGGAATAGGAGGTCTGGGTTATTGTGCGGAAGGTGGGTTTGTGCCTCTCTACCTTCGTGCCTCAGCCAAAGTTGGCTGCCTTAAAGAAGGTCCATTGTCCCTCCTGCATCAACTGTGGAAAGGAAGGAAGGAAGGAAGGAAGGAAGGAAGAGGGTAAGCGGCTGGCATCAGCCCCTTGGTCCGTCCACCCACCGACTCGCTTGCCTCCTCATGTGAGATCTCTCTTGCCCCCTTCCAAAAAAAGGGATTCTCTCCTCCCCTCCCCAGTTTTGATGTATGCCTTTCTCCTCTTTGCTACTGAAGTTTAAGCCTGTGGATTCCCTCCATTCCCCATTTCCCGTGCTGGGATCTGGTTCATGCTGTGGTTTGCAAGGACTTAAATGCTGCCTGACCTGAGCAGATCCGCCAAGCGTGTTCTGTCCCCTTTGGAAAAACTGAGCCTTGGGCCGCTCCGGCCAGACTGAACACAGTAAGCTCTTTGTCCATGTTGTGCTTAGAGGCCTGAGTTCCCCAAAGCAGGACTCCTTGGTTGCTTAAAAGATGCAGCTGCCTTGGTCTGTGGTTCCTTCCCTCTTCAAGGGCCAACTGGGCCAACCGTGACAGACCTCTGAGAGAAATCTGCCTTTGTTTGCTTGTTCCGGCAGCGGTCTGGCCGGGTGCCATGGAAGATGGCAGAGTGACCGGCATCCTCAAAATGCCTTCTGTTCTTGGAGGTATTCCCCACCCCATCCCAGTAGCCTTATTGGCTGCAAAGTGAAAGTTTGGGGGGGGGGGAATTTCCTACTGTAATGACTTGTGATGCACTACTGTTGAAATCACTGAAGATGAGAGGAGATGGAGCAGGACTCTGAGGAGGAGATGGAGGAGGAGGAGGTTTGAGGTCCCAGCACAGCTCTCTGCCTCTCCTTTCTGGTGTGTGACTACTACTCCTGCTGTCCTTTCCTACTTCTTCCCAGTCCTGCCAGCTTCTGTCCTCCCCAAACCCCTTGCTGTTATCTTTCAGAAGTAGATTCTGGTCTGCAGATTTCCCTGGATGCTACCTGGGTGTTCTTGCTGTTTGGAACAGGATGGGAAAAGAGAGTTAGCGCTGGCTGGCCTTTAAAATGTCTCTTCCTGGAGCTGCTAGCCACTGCTACCTGGAGTTAGTGATTTAAGCAGCCAGATGGTACCAAAATGCCCGACCTCTTTGAGGAGGAGGTAACCACATTCCCCCCCCCCAAAAAAAAAACAGGAATGGCTGCTGGTTGAACATCTGGGCTTTGGAAATTCGAGGACTCGCTTGCACCTGGGATGAGCTTTCCCCAACAACTTATGGATTCCCTGACTTAGAGATAATATCCAGATTATAGGTACTGGGCCACTAACAATTAAAATAGACCCCCGTGAGCCATTCACAAGACAAATATGAACCAAGTTTCTCCAGAAGTTTATTTGCAGGGGCGGCAGGCATCTTCTAGTAAAAATGTCCATCAACAGGTTTGCAAAGTCTCTGAGTCCATGGAGGAATCGGACAGCCGTCCTTTGAGTTTCTTGTTTCTGGACAGGCTTTGTACATTCCAAAGAGACTGTGCTTTTCACTCACAAAAACACCCATGTAGCATTTATCACCGGCACCCCCTTCCCGTCCCCCGTCTCCCCAATTTCCCTCGGCTTCTCTTCCTGCCACAGACATCCTTCCTTCCTTCCTTCCTTGCAACTTGCAAGCTGGGCGAGATTGTGCCGCGCAAGCAAAGGTGGGATGGATTGCATCGATTGCGTGACTTCCGAGTGCCTTTGCGCAGGGCTTTGGCAGGGCTTTGGCCTCTTGTGTTTTGGCTTGGACCGCCTCTTGGCAAGAGGCGCAGCTATAAATCCCGCATCAAGAGAAGCCGGTTTCTGTGGCCTTTGTAGTATCTGTGCCAGTAGAGCAGATCTGCTGAGCCGAACCTTTATTCTGCCGCTAATTGTTGCCCAGTTGCCTTCTCTCTCTGATCACTGGAGCCCTCCTTGTAGAGCCTTTGCTTGCGTAGGGCTGGGAAACATGGATCCCTGTTGGACTACAACTCCCATTAGCCCTGGTCAAAACAGCCAGTTGGTGAAGGGTTGTGGGGGCTGTAGTCCAGCATCACCTGGAGGGTCAGGTGCTCTCCATTCCTGCTTTTGTCTGTAAGATCTTCAGGCTTGAAAACCATAGTCCTTCTGCAATCCTAGTCCAAAAGAGTTGCCTTGTCTTTGCATAAACAATTTTCCAGGGCAACTGGGCGGCCTGTGATCCCTCTCTCAAGGTGGCCTTTAACATGTGTGTCTGTCTTTTTAATCATCCTTTCTGCCACTTACAAGTAATAAGGATGGAGCCACGGTCTGCTCCTGCGATGAAAGGGCGACAGGGGCTGCTGAGCCCA